CGTGGCAGCGGTAAACTGTCACATGTCAGTTGGCCATCAGGCTGATCTTTCTCCACTGTTCCATGGCAGGTGGTGATATACTGTGGGGAGCAGCATATCTCAAAGGCACAAAGTTCCCACTCCTGTGTCACTGGCAAAATAATTCTTGTGTATTCCTCCACATAAATAAAATAAATAAATAAAATGAAGCAAACTGTTACTTGCATGAGTCTCATTATAGTGAGACAGCTGGATGCAAACCCTGCACGATCCCTCGGATTAAATTAGACTGAAAGTTGTTGTTGATTAAAATTTCTAAATGTTTTTGAAGAAACTGTAGCACTTAATATAACAAAAAGCCATCAGACTGTTGTTGAGCTGGCTCTGTGGAAAGCAGATAAACAGCTCAGGTCTTCATAAGAAAAGCACCTAAATGTGAATCTGTGACCGTTGCTGCAATTATCAAATTCAAATCTTTGGACGAAATGGATCAAGTTTCATTTAAATGATGGATGTCTGTGTCCAGATCAGTATCTGACTGCAGTTTGTTGCCGTTTCGTTGTTGCGTTGCTTTTTTGGCACAGCTGCAGCTTTGCTTCACGGCCGATGTTGCAATGCCATAAATTTCAACCTTAATTTAAATACATGTTTATCACACTTACAAATAAGCCCAGCGGAGACAAGTCACGGATGAAAGGCTAAATGCTGTTTTTTTATCCATCAAAGATATTTGATTGATTTGCTGATGAGAAGTTTTTGACAGATGTTTAAATACTGTTACAGTTACTTCTCAAGGCAACCTGGACGCGGGTGAGGCGGCTTTAAAATAATATTATATCAAGGTGTTTTTGTGCAAGCAGTACTTTGAGCAGTAGGGTTTAAGGATCATTATTTAATTTTTACCACAGCATGTACTAATATAATGTCCTGTCAGATAGACTTGTTGGCCCTCACAATGCTTTACGCACCTTTCCTCATTCATACAGTCCCGATCAAAAGTTTAAGATCACTTAAGAAATGTCAAAAATCACATTTTGATCTTTTTGAGTGAGCTTCAACATGCAACAAGAAGAAATGGGAGTGAGACAAAACACTTTCTGAGCATGCAGTTCACTGAAAACAGCGCTTACACTGAAACAGGCTGTTTTAGTTTTAGTACCACGTGTGCTGGCAAAGGTCGGCAGCCTTAACCCAACAAATTTCCCACGCGTGGGACTAATAAAGGTTATCTTAACTTATCTTATCTTTGGCCAAATCTGTGCAAAAATGTGGATTCAGTATACATATGTGCATAGAAGTGTTTACCAGAGAAATTCAATTAAAAACAGGTTCAAAATATTCCTTGTTTTTATTGGAAATATGGAAAAATCTTAAAGCTAAGAACTGTGTGTGTCAAAGATAATAAACCCTACAACTGTGAGAATTTGGCAGAATGAGCTGGAGTAACTTCCTGTCACATTATTTAAGGCTTCCATGAGACTCTTCTCATCTTTGCCTCACTGCAGTTTGTTATCAGCACTTCATGGACTGGTGTTTGTCTTGACATGCAGTGTAAACTGTGGGAGCCTTTATACACAGGTGTGTGTTTTTCTAAACAATGGCAGTTCATGTTGCTGCAGGTTGACAGTAGTTTTGCAGAACAATTATTATTTGAGGTCTTGGTGATTCGCAATTCATGGAGTAATTCAGATTTCCACTCAGTATGTGTGTCTACACCTCTCTGCATTTAATCTGTCTCCTCCACAGCATGTCTTCATCCCGTCTTCCTTCTCTCACCCCAACCGGTCGCAGCAGATGGCCCCGCCCCTCCCTGAGCCTGGTTCTCTTGGAGGTTTCTTCCTGTTAAAAGGGAGTTTTTCCTTCCCACTGTCACCAAAGTGCTGCTCATAGGGGGTCATATGATTGTAGGGTCTACCTTACAATATAAAGCACCTTGAGGCGACTGTTGTTGTGACTTGAGTGAGTCACTGGTAGGTTCACAACAATACTCATGCTATTCCTCTTCAGTGTCACTAGAGGGCGTAGTAATTCCATTAAATGGAAGGTTATGCCAGTATTGTAGGCTGGGATGTAGCTGCTCGGCCATGAAGCTCTCCACCAAGTGAAGTTTTGAGGTCTGTAGCGATCGACCTCTCTGCACTATGCACCTCCCTTTGTGATTTCACGTGGCCTTCCACTTTGTGGCTGAGTTGCTGTCATTTCTATTTGCTTCCACTTCATTATAATACCCCTAACAGCTGACTGTGGAATATTTAGTGAGAAAATTTCACAGCTGTACTTGTGCACATGTGGCATCCTGTCGACTTCAGTGAGCTCCGGAGAGTGCCCCACATTTCTCTCACAAGTGTTTGTAGAGGCAGTCTGCATGGCTGTTATCACTCTGGTTCAGGGAATATCAGAAACATACAACACTTTGTAGGTGCCTTGTTATGTTCCTGATCTCTTCCTCGTAATTATTTTTTACAAATGATGCAGTTGTGCTCGTGCTAGATTTTCATACAAAGGCTGAAATAATTCAGTTTATTTGTCATATGACATGTTTACATTCACCATGTACAGTAACAAAAACTGATCAGTGCAAGAAGCAACAGGAAAACAACAGGAAACATTTATTTCTTTAAAGGAAAGCTGACTGCCCGTTAAAACAAATATGAAATATTCTGTACGTGTTGAAATTGAAAGTCCTACACCTGTTGCAGTATTGTTACTCCAGCTCTTTGTGCTTTCTCTGGATTGCTACCTTAAGCTCCCACTCTGTTGTTTTTGGTCCCACTGTGTTTTAGTCTACCGTTGGCTGATTGTTCAGAGTAGGGCTGTTCGATATAACGATATATATC